GGGTTTAGTCTGTCAATCAGGCACAGATTGATGACCTCATTTGGAGGCACTCAGGCGATAAATAGCTCCTTGGAGGTGGGACACACGGTCACTCCCAGAGAGACATTAGGACGAAGAGCCTGATAGAGCTGTGCTGCTGCAGCCAGAGCCCTGGGAGCTGGAGGAGCCATGTGGAGACCCACCCCAGTGCTGCGATGCTTCTACCGCCCCTGGATCCACAGTACTTTCCACCTACTGGCTTGTGATCTTCCTGTATTCGACATCATTGCATGGCTGTATAAGTCTAAAGAGGAATTTATGGACTAGTATTGGACATATGGACTAATATTGGACTTATGGACTTGATCTGGACTGGGCTGGGATGTTTCCTTAATGTACAATTTCTCTTTATATAATGCTCTTTCCTATACACATATGAGTGTCTATGAATTTGTTTCTCTCGTCTACCCGGACTAACACAATCTGCCACAATCCACTTTCCAATGTACTCTGTATGATAGAAAGTCTATTCACATCCCTGGTCTATGTTCAGAGGGGGTTCACTGGGGGCTTACTCCGCATGGTTTTCCTCTTCACTTAAAAATTCTTTTTAACTGATGTAATTTTAAATGGGTCAAAAGGGGGATCAAATCAGATGTTACAATTTAAACGGACTATATTTACTATAAGCATCTCTACAATACTTTGATAAAAGGGCTATTTACATCCATCAACTATGGTCAGATCTGGGTATTCTGCAAATGAATTTTGGGCTTCCACAGTCACCCATACATAGCCCTTTACAAACAAAGTGTTCACAACTTGAGCTTTGATACCATTCCCCCCTGCAGATTTGTAGTAGATTATTTACAATCCTTGGATCACACTGACTGGTGTACTTCTGTATTGACTTAGTTGATGCCTCACTTAGATGGCTGCTTGGTTGAAGACAAGCCTTTAAGACTCCATATACTCTTTTTGATAGCTGGGAACCATCTACTTCATATTTTGCTGTGGCACCCTTATATTCAATGATTTCTTCATGAGGGTGAGTATCAAGCAGGGCCATGTCATAAGGACTAATTGTTCTTAGATTTGGGGCTAGAATTAAGTGTGAGCCCATATAGTTCACCGTAGAGACATCATTGTCATTTTATGTTAGAGAAAATTATCAATCATCTCCATGGGGCATGTCATTCTATTAGTAGTGTCATTAATTTAGCCAATGGTAAAGAATTTGAAACACAAATGAGTGAAGTTTATACAAATGTAGCCTGGCCACAAACTGTAATACATGAATTATTGATGATAATATAACTCTTTATAGGAATAGGAAGCCACCTCTTTATCCTGCAGCATGGCTGGTGGTTTTGAACTACTGACCTGGCTGTTAGCAGCCCAGCATGTTACCACGTTGCCACCAGGGCTCCTGCTGTTGTTACAAGGGAACATGGCGTTGGACCCATTTCCTGACTCACATGATGGGTTCACTGTGCCAGGGCTGTTTGTGAAAACAATGTGGTTTATGCTGAACGAATCTTCTGTGAGGCTGGAATTTCGGTAGTTGCTGTGCAGATGATGGCTACAGGACCAGCTAACATTGTGAACTGAGTCTCTAATGGGTCTCCTGGGCAGAACCATGGCTCACATGTTATTCTTTCTCTGATGATAAAGCAGCACGCTCAATGTGTCGCTTTTT